GCATCATGGGCAAAGACAGGGTGAGGAGGCACGTCCACACCTTACCTGAGATGTGTTGAAGCCGGTCCTCAGGGCATATGCCACACACCCGTTATCCACAGCTGCAACAGGAATGAAGAGAGTCAGCTCAGAGGGAAGCTTGGACAGGCTTACTGCAGGCAGAAGGCACATGAAGCTGCACCCTCCTCTCACAACAGACACAGCTGAATGGATCACAGCAGTCTAAGAATCAAAAGTGAATCCTGAGTGCCAAGGTCAAGGCAACTGACTCAATGATACCCTCCAATGTGGAATGATTTGGGTTGGAAAGGACCTTAAGATCATCCAGTTCCAACCCTCTGCTATGGACAGGGACAACTTCCACTGGAGCAGCTTGCTCCAAGCCCCTGTGTCCAACCTGGCCTTGAACACTGCCAGGGATGGGGCAGCCACAGCTTCTCTGGGCACCCTGTGCCAGCGCCTCAGCACCCTCACAGGGAAGAGCTTCTGCCTCATCTCCAACCTGAACTTCCCCTGTTTCAGCCTGAACCCGTTCCCCCATGTCCCATCACTGCAGTCCCTGATGAAGAGCCCTCTCCAGCATCCTTGTAGCCCCCTTCAGACACTGGAAGCTGTTCTGAGCTCTTCACACAGCTTCTCTTCTCCAGCCCCAGTGTTCTCAGCCTGGCTCCATATGGGACCTGCTCCAGCCCCTGCTCATCCTTGTGGCCTTGCTCCAACAGCTCCATGTCCTTCTTATGTTGAGGACACCAGAACTGGATGCAGCATCCAAGTGGGGTCTCAAGGGAGCAGAGCAGAGGGGCAGGATCACCTCCACGACCTGCTGCTCATCTCCTATGGTTGCAGCCCAGCACACGATGGTTTCTGGCCTTGTTGTACCCAGTTGTTGTATGAAGCCATTTACCATACACCTGGGAGACCCTGGCAGAGGGAATGCGTGCAGGTACCTACGTTTCAGTCCCGTGCTGGCTTTCTGGGGTGGGATGTGCTGCACCACTTTGGTTCCCCCAAATATGATGTGCAGTCGAGCATCCGTCTGCATGTCCAAGATGTGCTCGGGGCTGAGATCCTCCACGGGCTCCTGCAGGGCAAAGTTCAGGCTCAGAATCACAGCATTACACTTACAAATACTCTTTTCTGTTCTTATCCCATGTAAGATAAGCTTTGCTTCAACCAAAGGTGGCCTGAAGTGAATCTAGACCTTAACCATTCAGCTCCTGATGCTGGGTTTAGAGCCTGGTGGAAATGCTGGTTTTGGGGGATGACTTTGCCCCTGGTACCCTGAATTCAGCGAGGGAGGCTCTGCAAGCATGACTTCATCTTCACTGGCACAGAAAGAAGGAAGAGGTAGGGGTTTGCAGTGCTTCACACTTGTTCCTCCTCCCACCTCTACCCAGCCGAAGGAATCCAGCCTAGGGAATGTGTGGGAAGGTGATGCCATGCTCCAGGAGTTCAGCCCCAAAGGCTGGAGCCAGTGCCAGACAAAACAGACACTTGTGTTTCTCATTTACCACACAGCATCCAGCACTGCCAGGGAGCAGATACCAACCACAGCAGGCACACACGGACACGAACCCCACTGCCAAGTTTTGCAGTGGCTGGACTGTTTTCCCCTTTCCCAGGCTGCACCAAGCGAGGAGCACAGGGGGACGTCTCACAGACCTTCATCTGGGGCACGGATTCTCCTGTCAGCATAGCTTCATCCACAATGCACCTTCCACGCAGCAGCAGCACATCACAGGGCACCAGGTTCTCATGAGGAGATCGCCCTGGAATGAGCACATCAGTACTGAGAAGCAGCTCCAAGGCACAAGAAGTGCCTCGGGTTCTCTGGCTCTGCTTCAGTTCAGCTGAGATCCCTACAGCTCCCACATCATGCACCCACGCTGCAGTGAGGACAACCAAAAGGGCTGGAACAGGATTAGGCCTCTAGCAAGACCAGGAATGTTGAAAGCACATCACCCACTTCTCCCTGTCAGTCAGGCTTCAAAGCTTGGGATCACATCCCAGGGTAATGCAGCCTTCAAAGGGAGAGCAGGTTAAGACAGAGCTTTCCATTCCTCTTCCCATTCTAGGAAGAGCTTGTGTCACAGGAGGAGGAGCGCCATGAAGATGCTCTGAGGGCTGGAGCAGCTCTGCTCTGCAGACAGGCTGGGTTCAGCCTGGAGAAGAGAAGGCTCCAGGAGACCTTAGAGCAGATTCCAGTTCCTGAAGGGCTTGGAGCAACCTTCTCCAGTGGGAAGTGTCCCTGCCCATGGCAGGGGGGTGGAAGTGGAGGAGCTTTAAGGCCCTTTCCAGCCTGGATCAGTCTGGGATTATGGGACTCTGAGGCTGCGCACTGCAACCCGCTGGAAAGAACCCGATTTTAAAGCAGCTTTTGACTGCAACCATCATGCACATCCTTACCAATGGAGACAATATCCCCTGGGATGATCTCATCACTGGAAATGGGGCGCCACTTACGGTTCCTGTACACCTGCAGGGGCAAAAAGGCACCTTCAGGAGCTCTGCACCCTTCAGAAAGGGATGAGAGGAAAAAGGAGGGGGGAAAAGGAACAACAAATCAGCTCCAAGACAGCAAGAATTCCATGCCCATCCTCTGTGCTTTCCATCACCTGGATCATGTACGGCTTGTTGCCCATCTTCCGGATCTCAGACATGTTCCTCATCTGCTGCTGGACCAGAGAAGCTTCAAATGCAACCAACATGGAGAGGGTGAAGACGCTGTAATACCAGTACTCATCCAGGCACCACAAGCCCACACAGAACACCTGCAGAAGGACACAGTGCTCAAGTTGGTCTGATCCCACTCCAAAACCAAAAGCCTCCCAGTTCCAGGAATTCTTTCTGGAGCTAACTTGAACCATATTTAATTGTAGCAAGCCACAAAACCCAAGGACCACAGGAAGTCATTAGGGGGAGGCACTTTCTGAAGGCAAATCAATGTTACAGCACAAGAATAGCATCTTCTCCTGGGTTTAGCAAGCTGCCAGCTGGTTTATGGCTCTCAAGGCAGGAATTGTAAGGGCTTCTCCCATTTCCTAGCGGGGACAAGCTGGTTTGTTACCTGGAAAACGAAGAAGGGAGCTGTAGCCCTTTCTTTAAAGAGTTCCAAGAATTCTGGCACCACCATCTCAGCCCTGGGGAAGAATAGAATCTTTATGAACCTCAGCATTCCACCTCCTCAGCACACGGCCCCATCAGTCAGAATCTCCCTCTTTTCAATGACTTTGATGCGGGGAGATGCAGTTATCTCCATCTCAATCCCACCCTCGAGGAACCCCTTTGGGCTGATGTCCTTAAAGGCACTGGAAGTGCTGGGAGGAAGTGAAACTAAAACCCCAGGTACAGCACCGTGGTTCAGGGCTGTTGGTCCTGACTGGGATACCCTGGCAAGGCAAGCTCTGTGCTTGGAAAACTTACTTGTTTGTCCCGTATTTCTTCTCAGCTGCTCGGATATCCTTGTCTTCCTGGTAGCCTCGGGCGTTCTGGTAGTAACAGAGGGGATGTTCCACAGGGAAAGCGACCGGGAGGAACTGCTTCTTGCCATCCAGCTCATAGGAGTATTTGATTTTTTGGAATTCAAAGGAAAGAGCCTCCTGCCCATCCTCCCCCTGCAGAGACAGCGAAAAACCCAAGTGAACAAACACCAAAGGCTTCACTCCACAGAGAACCTGATGAAGGAAAGACTCCCCCCAGTCCCTAAAGCATCTCCTGATTGCATGACTGCTTATGGCTCATGCACCAGGGAACACTGGGGATCCCTTCACACCTCTCAGCTGATTCACCTCTCAGCACTTCAGTCAGAAGCTCCTAAAGCTGCAGCTGACAGCCCCATGCAGCAGCTCCTGCGCTCAGCCCATCCTCACCTGGTCTCTGTGCAGCGGCACCAGTTCCACCGAGCCGTTGTTTGGGGTTGGCACCACTTTGGCCAACGTGGCTTTCTTCGGACAAGGCTCCTGCAACACAAGCAGGAGACACTTCAGAAAGCACATCCCAGAGCCTGGAATTCAATGGGCTGGGAGGAATCCTCACTTCCAGACACCAGGAGAATCCCAGAATGGTTTGGGTGGGAAAGGACCTTAAAGCCCATCCAGTTCCAAGCTGCTGCCATGAGCAGGGACCCCTTCCACTGGAGCAGCTTGCTCCAAGCCCCTGTGTCCAACCTGGCCTTGAACAGGGGTGGTTCATCCAAACCTTCTCCATTCAACCCATCCCAGTGTCCCACCGCCCTCACAGGGAAGAGCTCATCTCCATCTCCCCTCGGGCAGGTTCAAGCCGCTCCCCTCATCCCAAGCCCCTCTCCAGGTTTCCTGCAGCCCCTTTAGGCACTGGAGCTGCTCTCAGGTCTCCCCTTCAGGAGCCTTCTCCTCTCCAGGCTGCCCCAGCCCAGCTCTCTCAGCCTGGCTTCAAGCAGAGCTGCTCCAGCCCTCGCAGCACCTCCATGGCCTCACTCCAACAGCTCCACATCCCTCTTGTGCCACTGCCCCGCTGCTGGAATCAACGCCATCCCAACGCTCCCACACCCGGTCATACCCACCGCTTCCCTTGGGGCACCTACGGCAAGACCCAGCCACAGCAGCGCCCAGCCCTGCTCGAAGGGCTCCCCCGGGCTCACTCACCCGCACGCAGGTGAGGGCGCAGTGAGCGTGCACCGACCACAGCCCCGACAGCGCCGTCAGCACATGGAGCACGCCGATGGCGGCCAGCGCCAGCACCGCGGCCTCGGGGGGCCTCGGGCCTCCATCACCCTCCTCCCCCGCCGCCTCGCCGCCCCACGCGGCCCACACGCGCGGCCCCCACAGCCAGAGCCAAGCCGGGTAGAGGCCGGCCACGAAGGGCAGCACGGTGCCGTGCAGCAGCCGCGGCCGCCGCCGGTACAGCGTTACCGACGAGACCAGCTCGTCCCCGGGGCCCGCAGCAGCGCCGGCCGCCGCCATCTTCCGACACAGAGCAGGGGCCCGCTGCTTCCGGTTCCGCTTCCGGTTCCACCGCGCGTGCGCACTGTGGAGGTGCCGGCTGGAGCGGCGGAGGGATGTGAGTGGTGGGGGGAGCAGAGATCGGGATCGGGATCGGGACTGGGAGCGGGATCGGGACTGGGATCGGGACCGGGACTGGGACGGGGCCGGGATCGGGATAGGGACTGGGACTGGGAACGGGATCGAAACCGGGACTGGGACCGGGATCGGGATCGGGACTGGGATCGGGAACCGGGACCGGGATCGGGACTGGGACGGGGCCGGGATCGGGAACCGGGACCGGGATCGGGACTGGGATCGGGAACGGGGTCGGGATTGGGACTGGGACGGGGCCGGGACCGGGATCGGGAACCGGGACCGGGATCGGGACCGGGACCAGGATCGGGGTCGGGATCGGGATCGGGATCGGGACTGGGACGGGGCCGGGATCGGGATAGGGATCGGGAACCGGGGTCGGGATCGGGATAGGGATCGGGAACCGGGACCGGGACGGGGCCGGGATCGGGACCGGGAACCGGGATCGGGACTGGGATTGGGACCGGGGTCGGGATCGGGACCGGGATCGAAACCGGGACCGGCATAGGGATCGGGACCGGGACTGGGATCGGGATAGGGACCGGGATAGGGATCGGGACCGGGATCGGGACCGGGATCGGGACTGGGATCGGGACCTGGACTAGAGTCGGAACCTAGTCTGGACCTGAGTCCGGCTCTGTTCCCTCTCCCCCTGTCCCCACCGTAACGGCTCCGTGTCCCCGCAGGGAAGCAGCCCTGGAGGTGACGGCTCGCTACTGCCGGCCGCAGATGGAGCAGTACGGGCAGTGCGTGGCCAAGAGCCCGGCCTCCTGGCAGCGGGACTGCCACCAGCTCCGCATGAGCATGTCCCGCTGCGCCGCCGCGCAGTGAGTGCGGGGCCGGGGCCGGGGCTGCGGGGCCGCGGAGCCGCAGCTCCGCCGAGCTCAGCGCCTCGCTGTTGCCCCGCAGCCCCATCGTGCGGCGGATCCGGCAGCGCTGCGAGGAGCCCTTCGCTGCCTTCGAGCAGTGCCTGCGGGAGAACCCGGCCGCCGTGGTCAAGTGCAGCGAGCAAGTGGATGCCTTCCTGCTCTGTGCGGACAGGGTGAAGGTCTCCACGTGAGGTGGGTGCTGCACCCGGAGCAATCAGAGCCTGGTGCTTGGGAGCTGCTGGGTTAAAGAGGGGCAGCAGAACCCATAGAGCACGTGGGTGCCTTCCTGCTCTGTGCGGACAGGGTGAAGGTCTCCACGTGAGGTGGGTGCTGCACTGGGTGCAGAGCAATCAGAGCCTGGTGCTTGGGAGCTGCTGGGTTAAACAAGGGCAGTAGAACCCATAGAGCACGTGGGTGCCTTCCTGCTCTGTGCGGACAGGGTGAAGGTCTCCACGTGAGGTGGGTGCTGCACTGGGTGCAGAGCAATCAGAACCTGGTGCTTGGGAGCTGCTGGGTTAAAGAGGGGCAGTAGAACCCATAGAGCACGTGGGTGCCTTCCTGCTCTGTGCGGACAGGGTGAAGGTCTCCACGTGAGGTGGGTGCTGCACTGGGTGCAGAGCAATCAGAGCCTGGTGCTTGGGAGCTGCTGGGTTAAAGAGGGGCAGTAGAACCCATAGAGCACGTGGGTGCCTTCCTGCTCTGTGCGGACAGGGTGAAGGTCTCCACGTGAGGTGGGTGCTGCACTGGGTGCAGAGCAATCAGAGCCTGGTGCTTGGGAGCTGCTGGGTTAAAGAGGGGCAGTAGAACCCATAGAGCACGTGGATGCCTTCCTGCTCTGTGCGGACAGGGTGAAGGTCTCCACGTGAGGTGGGTGCTGGGTCCAGAGCAATCAGAGCCTGGTGCTTGGGAGCTGCTGGGCTAAAGAGGGGCAGTAGAACCCATAGAGCACGTGGGTGCCTTCCTGCTCTGTGCGGACAGGGTGAAGGTCTCCACGTGAGGTGGGTGCTGGATCCAGAGCAATCAGAGCCTGGTGCTTGGGAGCTGCTGGGTTAAAGAGGGGCAGTAGAACCCATAGAGCACGTGGGTGCCTTCCTGCTCTGTGCAGACAGGGTGAAGGTCTCCATGTGAGGTGGGTGCTGCACTGGAGCAATCAGAACCTGGTGCTTGGGAGCTGCTGGGTTAAAGAGGGGCAGTAGAACCCATAGAGCACGTGGGTGCCTTCCTGCTCTGTGCGGACAGGGTGAAGGTCTCCACGTGAGGTGGGTGCTGCACTGGGTGCAGAGCAATCAGAACCTGGTGCTTGGGAGCTGCTGGGTTAAAGAGGGGCAGTAGAACCCATAGAGCACGTGGGTGCCTTCCTGCTGTGTGCGGACAGGGTGAAGGTCTCCACGTGAGGTGGGTGCTGCACTGGGTGCAGAGCAATCAGAACCTGGTGCTTGGGAGCTGCTGGGTTAAAGAGGGGCAGTAGAACCCATAGAGGCCTGGAATGGGTTGGGGTGGAAGGGACCTTAAAGCTCATCCAGCTCCAAGCCCTCTGCTGTGGGCAGGGACCCCTTCCATTAGAGCAGCTCGCTCCAACCTGGCCTTGAACACTGTGAGGGATGGAGCATCCAAACCTTTTCCATTGAACCCATCCCAGTGTCCCACCACCCTCATGGGGAAGAGCTTGACATGTAACCTAACATGGGAAAGCATTAAAGCAAATAACATGTTACTAAGCACACAGAAATCACCTCCCATGCTCATGGGGTGTGATCTGGGGGGCTGCACCCCCATGGAGCCGACCTGATGCTTTGATTTGTGCTCTTTCCATAGGGAAGCCTTGGAATCAGAATTCATCTTGAGGAGTGAATGGGAAGCCTTTGTGTGCTCTGGACTCTGGTGCTGCTGCTGGCTTGGGTTGGGTGAGCCCCTCTGATAAGCAAGGTGCAGCTCTGCAAGGTGGGATTCTCAGCTGTGGGCCCGCTGGGCTTGGCTCCAGCAACCAACTGGACCCTAACTGGGATTATCAGCGCATTCCCAGTACAAGGGTGCTGCTAACGCTGGGCTTTGCCTGCTGGGTTGCCTCTAAAAGCTTCATAAGTCAATGGATTACAGAACTGGGGTGAGGCTGCGGCCTGCAGGTGGCTTTGAATAGGAACCAAAAGCTGAAACCAGCCCTTCTCTTTCTCTGCAGCCTGGCTTCTCCATCACTTTGCTCATTCGTCCCAATGTTCTCCTGCATCCCAATAAAAGAGCAAAAACCTCCTCTGTGACATCCAACCCAGGCCTGGCTTTATCCCACTGGTGATGGAGGCTGGATACAGGGCTGGTTGCTTGGCTTGTAAAGGTTGGCTTGAGCTGCTTGGAGCAACCTGTGCTGCTCCCAGGTTAGGGGGATGCTGAGGGGTTGGAGCCCGGCTCTCCTGGTTTACAACAGCAGAGGGAGTCCTCCTGCAGCAGAGAGGGCAGAAACATGATGGGAGAGCGCTGCCTGCCCTAGCAACAGCAGAACCCAGCTTCCTATGCAGAGAGCAGAGCCCAGCTCTAAGGGCTGGTTTCTGGGCTGTAACCAGTGGGGAGGAAGAGACCAGGAGCAATGGATGGTCCCCTGATGAGTGGGGTGAGCTGGGGAGTGCTTCTGGGCAGGGAGACCTTGGGGGTCACCAGTGTAAGAAGGACGTGGAGCTGTTGGGGCAAGTCCAGAGGAGGCCATGGAGATGCCCTAAGGTAATGGAGCATCCCTGCTCCGGAGCCAGGCTGGGTCAGCGTGGAGAGGAGAAGGCTCCTCAAGGGGAACCCTTAGAGCATCTCCAATGCCCTTCAAGTGGGCAGAGAATCTCTGCCAGGAGGGGTTTAAACCTTGGCAAATCCTTTGGGAACAGGGTTCAAGGGGGGAGAAACGAGATTCTGTGCCCTGGTTACACAACAGCATCCTCAGAGGAGCATCCCTGGAGCAGGAGCTTGGTCTTACAGAGAAGAGCCATCAAAGAGGTGGGATGACACCAGAAACAGCAGCAGCCTCCTTCTATGGACATACAGCACAGCTTTGTTGGGTTTGGGAGTGGGCTTTGTACCTCTAAGAGAGGGTGAGGCCTGGAACTTGGCCTTGCCCTGCTTCCCAGCCCTTCAGACACATTAATCCTCAGCGCTGGTTCAGCCAAGCGTTCCCTCCAAGCCTTCCCTTTGAGCCTCTTGGTGTCTGGCCAACATCAGAGGGCGTTTTCCAGCCCCATACAGAGCTTTAAGGCCTTTGGGCAGAGGGACAGCAGATTGAAGTCAATGGGGTCCAGCTTCTAGCAGAGCCCCAGTCACAGAGTGGGCTCCTTGGCTCACAGTGGCCATGGGAGCATCCAAAGAGCCTGAGCTCCCGTTTGCAAGCATCTGCACAAGCATCAGGAAGCTCTTGGTTGCCTTTTAGAAGCTCTTGGTTGCCTTTTAGCAGCTGCTAAACTGGGGCTGGAGACCTAAAGAGCTGCTTTATGGTGGGAGCCAAAGGGGAGGGGAGTTTGCCTTCCAACCGAACGCAGGGGCAAGCAGAAGAGGAGGACACTGGGTTTAATGGGGGGGTTGGAGGCAGCACCCCATGGGTCGGAAGGGGCTGGGGTGTGAATAGCTTCATTAAGGATGCAGTGAGGATGCTTTGCATGGTGTTGACCCCATAGGGAAACGTCAGCCTGGCGGCACAAAAGCCGTTTCTCATGAGGTTTGAGGTGCACGGGGGCCCCTCTTCAGCCCAGTTCTGCCTGAGCCGCTCCGTTATTGCTCGCTCCTACACGTTAACCACTGAGCTGCCAAGCACTTGGCCTGGTCAGCATCGAGCCATGCACACAGGGAGCAGTTCCCTTGCTCCTAGGGAGAAGGGGGAAGAGGAAGGTGCTGATCCTGCCTGGTTTATGGGGGTGCAGGGGGAGGGATGCTGAGGAAATGCGGGTTTTCTTCCTCATACCATGGAATGATTGGGGTTGGAAAGGACCCCAGAATCACCCAGTTCCAACCCCCAGCCTTTGGAAGGGAGAAGCATGGAGCACATCTGCAGCTCCTTCTCCTTTATGTGCTACCTGCTCCTGCTGGAATAAACCCAGAGGGGCAATCCCAACTCGTTGTGGCATTGCCAAACAGAAGGAAGCCCCTTCTTCATCTCTTGGGCTGTGATGCTGCCTCATAGCCCTTCGGTTGGGTAGGACAGCCTGATGGAAGCAAGGGGAAGAGGATTCACTGCCCTAAAGCGGTCCATGAGACTGGGGGGTTCAGCTTCATCACCAAAGGATGCGATGGGTCCAGCTAAAGGAATCAAATGGAGAAGGGAATAAACTGGTTTCCCCAGAGGGGCAGATTTGGGGTGGGAAAACAAAGATTTGGCACAAAGCAGCCTCAGAAGTGATAAAGAACCACAGTGCCGAGGAGCAGAGCTCAAAGGAGCAAGCTCTGAGATGCGTTAAGGAAGCAGCATCAGTTGTCCTCATTTGGGGGTTAACCCTTGTAAAGGCTCCTGCTCTTGGGGTGCCACCAGGTTCCTTCTGGGCTTTGCTTCCTTTCCAGCTCCTGGGGCTGGTTTTAACGCTTGGAATCGCTCCCAATGCTGCTTTGGGGTTTAAATGTGGGGTTTGGGTTGTGCTGGAGCAAGCGGGATGTCGGGAGCCTTCAGGTTTGACATCCCCATTGGCTCTGGGTCTCTATTTACTCATATCCCTACTAACTAACACCTATTGGGCTGCAGAGCAATGGATGGAAGGAAGCCCCCAAGCAGTGCTGAGGCCCTGAGTGAGGAGAAAGGGGAGGATGAGCAGGGCAGTTCAGTCTCTGCATTGCTTTACCTCCGTTTCTCCTTGGTTCCCATCACTCTGGATGCAAAGGGGGGGGACAGACTCTTTCCCCCAGCCTGTTGCTGTCCCTTCTCCTTTCCTTTGGAATCCAAGCAGGGAATTGCCCCCCCCCAAACAGGGACCGAACCCCACAGCTCTTTAATTCCTCATCCAGAAAACAGGCTCGTTTTCCACTCGGCTTCCCTGGCTTCAAGGCGCCCATAAATCAGCGCCTGCCTTTGGTGCTTGCAGTGATTTAGTGCTGCTGGCAGGGCTGGGTCTGCAGCAGGCACCTGTGGAGGGCAGAGGGCTATGGGGGGGGGGCACATTCCATGCACGCACGCGTTGGTTGTGGTCCAGATGGGGTTTGGAGTGAGGAGGATGGGGGGGAGCGTTCGTCCCCTCTGTGGCTTTCAGTCCCCTTTGCTCTCCTGGATGTAATTCCAGAGAGCCCTGGGTATTCCCAACCCTTCCTTGTGTGTCCCAAGGAAGGACCTGGAGCTCTCCCTGCTTGAGGAGAGCAGTGCTTGGGCCTCTGGACCGTGCCCAAAAGATGGGGGGATTTACTCTGTTACCCTGCTGTTTCCTCTCAGGGGATGCAGCTGCATCCCTGATGCCCAATGGGAGCTCAGGGATGGGTGTTGCTATGCTCAGGTTGCCAAAGGCTCCGTTCCCTCCTATGTGATGCTCCTTCCTCTTCCCATGTAACGCTTGCTGCACTCCTGTCCACCCAAGGATCTTCCCATGCATTCATTCCCATTGGGATGCTGCCTTCCTCTTGCAACCCCCTGCCTCCTCCTCTTGGGGCTGCAGCCACCAGCACCGCTTGCTCCTTTGCTCCAGGGTACCTGGGAAAGGTAATGGATGCTCAGGCCAACCCTTATGGGACTGCAATGAGGCAGTGGGATGCTCATGGATGGGGTTTGGGCTGAGACAAGCTTCAGCTTCCCCCTTCCAGTTTGCTGTCTTAGGAGCGTTGTGATGATGCTTTTGTAATGTACATGCATAGAGAACCCCATAGGCCCAGCGCAGCACTGGGGCACACGGAACCGAGGGTGAGGGTGCAGTGGGTGAGTGTCTGTAGGGTACATACAGGAGATGTCTCTGGGGAGAGGCATCATCTGGTACCAAGAGCAAAGCCCAGGGCGCTGCAGGGGCAATGGGGAGTGAATGCACACGAGCAGGGGTCACGTTCACACAGCTTTATTACAGGTGAAGCAAGAGGGGAGCGATGCTCAGGGCTCTGGTTGGGACCTCTGGAGCTGCATCAACAAGAATCAGGCTTTCCCTTTACATTGGAGAGGCTGCACACCTTTAAAACCAGCTTGGATGGGGCTTGGATGGGCCCCATGTACAGAGCCATCAGCTCCCCGCCTGCATCCCTGAGGATGCCAGGTTGGGAAAGAGCCACTGTTCCCTTTGGGAGTGGTGTGTCCAGTTCACACAGATGAGGGCGGGTGGGTATTCCTTGTGCTGGTGTGCTGTTAGCATCCTGGGAACACCCGGCCTTGCCTGGAATTCCAGCTCTCCTTCACCTATGGGATGAATGAAACCCCAACTTTGGGTCCTAGGCAGGAGAATAAAGAGCATCCCATGGGTGACAACAGAGACCTCCATTCTCTGCTCACTCTTTCTTGCCCTTTTTAGGGTACAAAGCATCACTCCTTGTGGCTCGCCCGCCCCATGGCATGGGGATGGATGAGGGATGCGCGTCACCGAGTGGCAAACACTGGGACCCATGGAAAACGCAGGGAGCAGCAGGGGCATCCCTTAGCCATGCCCCAGGACCCTGGATTTCCCCGTTGCAAGTCCCAGCGTTGGGAAATGAGGCAGAGGAGCACGGCAAACGGCAACCAAGGCTTCAAGAAAGGGACTTGTGGCTCCTGCTGCTTGTAGGGGCGGCTCTGGGCGGTCTCTGCTCGCAGGACACGATGCTCAAAAGCTTCAACACTGGACAGACTGCTAAAGGTACAGCTAAAGGACATCATAGCATGGGCCTACTCGTGGCTAGAAGAGGAGAGGGGCTCCCCCAGGTCCTTGAGGCTCCGCAAGGGCCCCATGAGTTAGC